ATATATATATATATATAGCATCTAGCCACCACTGCTGTCCGAGGAAGCGCTATTCTTTATTATGTCCAAACCATGGATATTTATATCTGTATAGGTTGATTGACTACTTTCTGATACAAATCACCGTAAAATTATGTTCTTTTTATTTACTCTAATTTTCAGTCCCTGGAGCCTAGATACGGTATTTTTTGCAGCCTTATTGTGGATCTTCGATCTATCGATCCGGACGAATTAACCGATCCCATGGATCACGTTTTACTCGTCAAGGTATGTGCTTTTTCCGTTTTCCACACACACGTTCAGTTTCGAACTGTATTCTTTCAATTTTTTTCACACACTTTTTTCACCGTGTCTGCTTCGCGGATCTCTGTCTATTCGTTCACTTGATTCAAAATGTTTGACATCGGCTACACTGATCACTTTGAAACTGTTTCACACGATGTCATGATATTCATTCTGCGTTTAGATTATTTTTAGCCTTAGTCCCAAGCGGCTTGGGTGTGATACTGAATTCCTCACCAATACCGCATAGGCGACACTAGCTGTATATAATCTATGTTTGGAAGTCCGATTGAGATGGCGTGAGTTTCGTTTTGTGGCACCCCGATTTGTGATTGGTTGATGCATGCATTTTAATGGACATTCGGAACTAGGATTACGCCTATGCATTTGGATTTATCCGATTTGACCTAGACTGAACTGCATCGGATGTGGCGATGAAGTCGGTCAATGGCGTGTGAAATGTGTTCCGTAGAGTCTAGGTGAAAATAGCATCTGTCAGCCAGATGTTCGCAACCATTGTTCAGTACTTTCGGTGGAAGTACAGAAATGTAAACACGTAGTCAAAACTGAAATACAATTTCTGGAATACAGGAGTATTTCAATGTGTCTCACACCAAGTGTGATCAGTTTGTGGCAGGGTTATAGCGGTTGACCACGTGTGTTACGTGGCTAATGTTAAGATGAGATGCCTGCGACAAGTTTGCCAAGATGAATATACCGTATCGTGTATAGCTAAAACAAAAAGGCGGTATCAGCTGCTTGGTGATGATCGAGCATGTAAAATTCCTGTAAACCACATATTCAAAGAACACAATGTGAAAGGGAATGTGAACGGAAGGGGGCGGTGGTGGCCCGGTGGTAACATCATCAACTTATCACCTTAGGGATGCGTGTTCGAACCCCACCACCACCGCCTGACTTTCACCGTTTTGTGTTGAATGGCAGCCATTTGATTGGCCGCTTCCCCTTCCTGAAAATTGTATCTTTGTATGTTCAATAAAAGGAAGTAAAATGAGAAGAAAAATGATTCACGTAAGAGCCAGTTTATTAATCCTACGTTTACGGAGTGGATGGAACGACTGAGAATTGTAGAGTCTCATATCTCAACGTTTGGTGAAAAAAAGATTGAAATGTAGAAGCAAGTCATTCAGAAACGGAATTCTGATAAGGATGACTAGCTGCCTGAGCACGGGATTGGTAGCAGCGGCAAACAAATTCAAAAATAGTTAACATAAAGAAGGGGCAGCGAAGCAACTGCTCGACGTTTGTCTACTGACTGGTGATTGATGTTTACGAACAGGTCGTCAGTCAGCCGAATGGTCTTCCGTTGAGCATTACTGAAAAGAGATTCAAAAGGAGAATACCATTCACGGATACAGTCTTTGATTTAGCTTTTCCGGTTTTTGTCTGGATCATCTTGTTCCCGAATGATTGTTGAACATTACAACCGTTCTCATCCGTTGTTTTCTAATCATCACAGACAGAACTTGGTGATCCGAAGTTTTTCCAAGCGCCCAGTGCTAACGACCAAAGTCTTTGGATTTCGGCTATACGGCGCGGTCTACCACCATTACGACTAAGACCTTGTCTGTCGAACACCCGATGTCATTGTCTCGTAACAGCTGCTGGCAACAGTGTCCCAGCTGTAGGTGATGACCCCACCTCCAAAACCTCGCTCGGTACACCGCATTCCGATGCAGGCTCTACCCGGTTTGAACCACCTGCTGAATCTATAGAAAAATCACTGTCTTCCAACACACGTCATCCAGGGTTGAGTGCTAAATCAGTCACAGGTATCCAACCCCATCAGTCCTCCCCAGTCACCACGGACGTGTCCTTCCCCACTCGAACCGCGACTACAGAAACAAACGTAACTACGGCGTTACCATTATCTCCAACCGCGTCCCGTGCACGAGTGCCACCGGGGAGTGTAAATTTGGATTTACGAGATCGATGGGCCAGTCCGCTTCAGCACAATCACGTGGAGCATGGGTCGTGGTAAGTAGAAATTGTATGGGATCTCTTTTGAAAAGTCATTGCTTTTCGTGATCCAATTTGATCGCTTGGTCTTTGTTCGAGTCAATCCACATTTGATGGAACTGAGGTCAGACAAAGGGTTTTACGTGTGGTTAAACAGTATCTTGAGTCTTTCGGCTTTCCCTAATCCATTTGGATTTCTATTCGCTGCTTGTGAAAAATGCCGTTTTATGTTTCGGATTCTCGGTCCATTCGAAATCACTGTTGTCCGATTGCCCCCGAGTTAGAACGTTTTTCCTTCAAATTTATGTTTCCTTGTCAGGTGCATCTCACAATGAAGGAATCCAAATCTAACTTGTCATCATTTGTTGTGAAATCGTACATATCCGTGATTGTTGCTGTCTCGCGGTTTTTCTCATTCGGATGTTATATCATATTTGTTGCCGTAGGAATTACCAGCTATGTGGAGGTTACTCGGGAAATAAATGATCTCCAAGAGCATAAGGTCCCCGTTCCGCGTGGATACATCCTATCCGCCTTTAAAGGATTGTTCCAGTGGACAAAGCTCTTGAGTCTAACATGAGGGAGGAATCATGTTCCAACTGAATGGTGTGGGTTGAGAATCTCACCGATGTGCAAAGTCGTCTGTCACACGTGAACGATACATACGACCCAACTAAGCTGGTTTTACATCTGGTCAAGGTTGCAACGACTATGTTCACTCTACGCCAAATTAAAAAAAAATGAAAATTTCTTCCCTAGACCCTCCATTTCTATCTTCCTCGATCTGAAGCGGCCTTCAGCTCAATCGATCGCGAAGTACTTAGGCAATTCCTCTTGAACTGTGTGCCAAAGCTTATTTCTATTAGTCGATCCCTTTACACCAATAGCCGAAGTCGTTTTCAAGNTCACCCGAGTTCGTCACATAAAGCGGTATACCTCAGGTTTATTCCTTCTCTCTCCTTTCTGTTCAACCATGTACTGGGTTTTATTCTGGAAACAACCCTGTCCTCATGCGAGATTTGTGTCATCAATTTTCTCTCAGGTGGAAGGCTATTTTATCTGAACTATGAAANGACATTGTACTCTCAGTTGCTGACCCAGGCAAGTTGTAAGCTTTTATGGATGGCTTGAGTGATAGTGTAACTGTGTTCGGTATGCGTTTTCACCCTCAGGGTGTAAAATCTTGCTACGGAACTGGATTAATCCAGCTCCCAAACTCACTTTAGATGGTGAAGTAATAGAGAAAGTAGATACGTTTTGTTATTTGGGCAGCCACTTTTCGACTGTGGAACAACTCATGGATAAATTTTAACCACGCATACAAAAGACACAATTGGCCTTTGCCGACTTGAAACGTCTACGGCGCTACCGCTGCATTCGTTTCTCCGACCGATTCTCCTGTATTATTCAGAGACTTAGTTTCTGTGTGATGAAATTAAAGGCAGACTATCTTTTTTTACACACTACTACCTGTGCCGCTTTGTTTGCGTTCTATGGGGCACTCAAGCCGGCACCACCGAGATTAGATGCAAAGAATTCGACAATTGTGGGTGCGCACTTAAGCAAGCGCTTGGTCACCTTAAATTTGAGCGATTCGGGCATGTGATACGCTTGTCACTGCACATTTTCCCATCAAGCCTTAGCCCAAACCCGAAATGCTTTAGTCAAGGCCCACATTTATTTGCCAAAACCCGTGGTCCTTTGGTCTCACCACACAAAATTTAGCCACGCCGCAGCAGGTGAGTCAGATTAGAAAGTATCGGAATATTCTGAACTCAACGAACGTTGAAAAAAATATTTTCTTTAACTGTTGATGCTGAAAAGCTTGGTTAAGAAATAAGAAGGTGTGAGGGTTGCATGCTGCAACACATGTCGATTGGAGATGGTTTATCCGATGTGCCTGTATCGTCAAATCATTTGACACATCTCTTACGGCTTCAGTGTTTCTGTATAACACGCGATACTCCTAGGAGTAAAAATCTCAAACTCAAACAATACATTGTTTTACCTTCACAAGTGAATTCTGTTCACCAAATGAGGATGCAAAAACGTGCTGAGGATAACAAACCGTTCGTAAAAGTACATCCTCATAACTATTATCAGTTTATTAACGATGCAACGTAAGTTATAATTACCACGGTCGAGGCTTGATTATTACCGGTTTTTGTCTATGGCTTCTTGGGAAAGGTGTTCTAAAGGGGTCTTTTGTGAGCAGTGTTTATTATCCTCGACCTTTTAATATATCCATATGTCAAAAACAGAGTTCCCTTTAAGTGGATATACGAAACGGTAAGATATACCTTTTGATTTATTTCAAGGCTTGCTAATGCAAAATAATGTATCGTTTGAGAGATTTGAGATTTTTACTCCTAGGAGTATCGCGTGTTATACAGAAACACTGAAGCCGTAAGAGATGTGTCAAATGATTTGACGATACAGGCACATCGGATAAACCATCTCCAATCGACATGTGTTGCAGCATGCAACCCTCACACCTTCTTATTTCTTAACCAAGCTTTTCAGCATCAACAGTTAAAGAAAATATTTTTTTCAACGTTCGTTGAGTTCAGAATATTCCGAAACTTTTTAATCTGACTCGTCTACTGTGGCGTGACTAAAGTTTGTGCGTTGAGGCTAAATGATTGGGATTGCTCTAAGTGCCAAGGCGCTCGCTTCTTGACTGGATTTCGATCTGTAGCCGACTGTGCGCTGTACGTCTCAACGGTTCAGCGCGGGTCAACAGCTACAGAATGAAGCGTAGATGCTTATTCGTTGTATCGGTGTATGCACCCATCGATTGCAGTACACCTAAAATCAAGGATGAATTCTACAAGGATCTTTCTCAATTACCATAAAAGTGTTCAATTGACGGACGTCATAGTAGCCGCCGGAGACTTCAATGCTCAAGTGGGATCCCTGGGCGAATCAGAAAGGCTTCTTGGCGGACCGCATGCACTCCCAGCCAACCGGACGGAGATAGCTTACTTCAACTCTGCACGGACCACGGATTGTTCTTGTCAAACACGAACTTCTCGCACAAGAAACGCCATCGACTTACATGGAAACCGCCAACCTCTTCACTGCGCAAGACCCACATCACCATCAGTTACCGCTGGAGGGGATCAATTCAAGACTTACTGGTCAAGAGCTGTGGACACAGACCACGCCTAGTTACGAGCCAAATTCTCCCTACGCCTGGCAAACAACGGCAGAAAAGCCACCGACAACGGATACCCACAATACAGCGTCCGTGATGACTGCAAATCGGCCTTCAAAGCGGAGCTCTCCGATCGCCTGTCAGTTCACCCACCAGCTGAAGCACTCAATGAACACTGGAAGCAATGCAAATATCATTGAAAGCAACGTCGGACCCTGGCGCAGGTTCAAAACACAATCGATGGATCTCGTTGATCTCGGCTGCCCTGCTGGACGCCCACAGAACCCTGCCTCCGGATGCCACATATGACAGCGCTCAAATCCCTTAAACGCCAGCTCATCAAGAGTCTGAGGAATAACCGCAATAAGTGGTGGGCAGAAAAGTGTAAAGAGATGGATAAAGCTGCGGCTATTGGTAATAGTCGTAACCTTTTCCATCTAATTAGGAATACGGACCCTAGAAAAATAGGCTTGAGGTAATTACGGAATCTGATGACATACTGATTCACGATCAGCAACGCCGTCTTGACCGTTGGGCTGAACACTTCAAGGCTTAATTCAACTAGCCCCCATCGACAGCTTATCTTTCACCCTCCACCTTGATTGGGTAAATACTCCCAGTTGATGCTAGTCCTCCATCTAAAATGGAGGTTTCTCGGGAAATAAGTTATCTCAAAAGGCATAAGGCTTCCGGCCGCGACGGGCTGTCCCAATCGGTTTTTAAGAATGAAGGTTCAGCCTTGGTTTTGGAGTTAACAAAGCTCCTGGGCTCAGTGTGGGAGAGGGAACAGGTTCCAGCTGAATGGTATAAATCGGTGATGATACCGATTTACAAGAAAGGTGATAGATCCTCTTGTGAAAACCATAGAGGAATTAGTTTAATCAGCGTTGTCTCTAAACTTCTCGCTGGCATCATACTCCGACGATTGTCTGCCGCACGTGAAGAGTGCACGCGTGAGAATCATCCTGGTATTAGGCCTGGTTGAGGTATTATTCACCATACATACACTCTCCGTCAAATTCTGGAGCATCGACATTCTTTTCGTAGACCCACCTGAAAGCA